CTACAACCTGTCAAATGGGTAAGTGAAGGCCATCCTTTGACCAAACGTGTGCTAAACAGTTATGGTATCTCGCCTTCTGCCATGGCCTATTCACATTTCCTATATCCTCTTATCATGTCTTCCCTGTCACAGTTTTTACCGTGCTTATTCTTAATGTGGTGTCATGTGCCCCCTTGAGCGGCAGGGAAGGACTACGTAACAATATGACAGACTCTGGTCAACACTCCCAGCAAAAGGTTGAAGGGGTGATAACGACAATGTGGAGTGTGAAGGGTTTTCATGAATGCCGCTCGAAGGGGCACACGACACTACATTAAGAATAAGCACGGTAAAAACTGTGACAGGAAAGGCATGATAGGAAATGTGAATAGGCCATGGCAGAAGGCGAGATAACATAACTGTTTAGCACACGTTTGGTCAAAGGACGAGCTTCACTTGTCAATTTTGACGAGTTGTAATATGGTGCCCCGAATGGCGACTGAGTGACGATGCCGGCGAAACCTTTGGGAATGTAACACGTCCACGGTCCGACTTTGGAAATAATTATGCATACAATGGGCTCAGGACAAGGTGCGTTCCTATAAGTCTACCCAGCAATATGACCAAGTTGCGAAGACAAGGTCAAGCAACCTCTGACCTAATGTAGTTCAACGCCACTCGGCGCACTCTAGGAAAGTGCCCAAACCCCTTTGAAAGGAAAGGTCTAAACCCTTCAGTAGAAAAGTCCTATCAAGTTTTGGACAGATTTACCACCTTTTAACAATGGCCACTGTTATATCTCAATTCATTAGATGCGGGTCATTTCTTGTACTCCATTTTTAGTTCCTTATCATGCAGATTAGCCGTTACACTATGAAATTTTCTGTGTATCGGCCAAGATTTGCCCATTTGCCTTAGTTTTGATTAGATAATTTAACTTTTTTGTTTTCCTAAGTCTAATATCGACTAAATGAAGACCCGTCTTATTCAAATTAGGTCCGGAGATAATACAAAATTGAGTTGTACAGATGGAGCAAATTTCAAAAAGTGAATGATTTAATTGCCTGGCCAATGATTTTTTAGATTTTTGTGCATAATGGAAAATTCATAAAAGAAAATCTCACGCACTTGGTGCACATGAAGAAAAAGTGTTTTGGAGAATTCCTCAATGAAAAATTATGACGACTCACAGGATGGTGAGCCGAGGAATGGTCTTTAGGTTTCAGGTGAGACCGCATAACAAATTCGTTCCAACTAAATTTCGCTTCATAATTAAGTCATGCCACAATACTTCCTCACATGTATCCCGGCCAAACCCAAATTTATAATTTAATTAGCCCCGGATAGACATGGGCCTTGAAATTAGTGAACGATATTATCACGCAAATAATGCAAAAGAATGAATGGACAAGGCTTCACATACTATCATGGAAAGAACGACCCAACGCACTAAATGCGGGTAGGCTTGAGAACCATTATCGCAAATAAACGGTCAAAATTGATGACAGAAGAAATTTTCCCATATTAGAAACGATCTGGGCATCCAGTCAGCTGGACAGCGAAATCCCGTGGTGAGCCATATGGAAATAAGACTAGAATGGAAAAAGCCCTGGAGGCGAAATACATGCGACGCCTTATTCCGCCAACTGATAAAATAAAAATCCAATGACAGGACAACATTGAAAGCGATGGAAGAAAGCTAGGAAGATAAGAGAGTAACGCCCATTGGTTCAAAGTTCCGAATGATATCAAATGCTAAATTCGCCCTGCTGTCGCATACAGGATGAGCCAGGGGAATGCCAAGTATACTACGAGAATGCCCACGAGGTAACCCCTTAAGTGTAGAGAAAAGTGCAAGTCAAATTTCCGCGAAAAAACTAAATGTTGATTGCAAAGTATTTTCATTGGGACAGAAATCGACACAAAATTTGAAGGCAGGATATTACACAGAAAAAGTGGAAAGTAAGACTACAACCATAGTCGCCTGAGGGGCTTGGGCAAATAAAAGATCACAACGGTATCAACCAAATATTTAAAGACCGAAGAAAGTAACTGCCACCCGCCATCTGGGCTTGGAGGGAATAATGAAGCCTAACAGGTTTGCACCCCATCCTGAATAAACAGTACGCGGGACTCGGACGCCTCAACAGATGGGAAAGCAAAGAGGAGCAAGACTACGTCCGGAAGAATTCCACGAAATAAATGCGACCGTTGGCAGAGTAGCCGAGTACCAAGTCCATTCTGATTGGGCATGCCAATAAGGGTAATCGGCGCATCAAAGCAGTCAGAATCATAAATTGCGTCGTCAAATCGAGGGTCGTTGCAGTCATGATACATTCGCGCGGAAATGATGTAGCCCGCCCGCCAAGATAGAAGAACAATCGGAGCCAATCTACGTAAGGGAGGAAGAAATTAGAATGGAAACGTGGGATCTTGGCTGGCTCAGTCTCGCAGGCCGTGAATTAAAACTTTCCACAAAGCAGCCGGCCACATGTCACTTGAGAGCGTGGAGCGCCAGATGCGGGGCTTTCAGCGGACAGATGCCTGTCAAGGGACAGGACCCGAAGCCGAGATAAGTCAGGTCTTCCACAACCCACTTCGACAAGAGAGAATTTAAAAAATACCAAGGGGAGGCATTGTCTAGAAATATTAGCTAAGCTATTTTGGACAAGATGGGCAGTGCGCCGACGCAATGGTAACACATTTCGTGGCGATCCCGCTGGATGTCATTCGACCCCATGTCCCACAATTAGGTCACCCAGGGGTCTTAATAGCGACGTCGCCACAGGCCCGCTAGCAGGCGACTGGATCCGTCACCCAGCTACCTGCTGGATATTGAGCTACACAATGCTGCCCGAGCTCCACCTCACGAACGTCGGCACATGATAATGTATGCGCAGCCAAACGCATCGTCCTTAAAGGTAGCTATTGCTTAAGAGTAGGCACTGAAAGTGAAGTCAAGATATTCTGGCAGATGTGGAAAGCCCTTGCTTCAAGGAAAGTTGAGTAAACAAATAACATGTAGAATGATAACACTAAAATCTAGGCCGAACCAGACGAAAATAGACTCATACAAAGAAATAACGACCTGAATTTTCAATTCGAATAACTGCTGAGAAGAGGGGACATGTAGACAATGAAATCGCGACATCCCAGCGAAACGAAGGCATCGGAGGTGAATGAAAGTAGGGCTGAGGTCAGGCTACCATGTAACTCAGCGAGAAGAGTAAAAGCCTAGGGGGCGAACAAACGCCTGTAGAAGCCGGTGATTACAAATATATTCCAAATGAGGAACAAGATAAGGCATTAAATAAGTAGATACATAGGTGATCTTTAACATCTAGCGTTTTATTCACAAATCTTCATCCCCATCGTCGGGCAATGGAGCTTGTGACGCAATCTATATGAGGATTTAAAAAAGCAAGATGAACTTACGACAATTTCGTTTTCGTATTGCTCAATAAGATTAGGATCCATATGAACTTCAGGGGGCTTAACTGCTGGCATTTCCACAAGCTCTAAGTTCGGGTCACCAACTAGCTTCCGAGCCAGCCAAAGGAAGGGTTTTTCAAAGTTATAATTTGACTTGGCTGATATATCATAATACTGAAAAGGTAAAAAGGAGAACCAGAAACCTGCAAGTTTTTTTTTCTATGAAATGTGATCGATTTAGCTTTGACCTTTCTGTCCTTAATGTCAACCTTATTTCCACACAAAACTATAGGAATGTTCTCGCACACCCTAACGAGGTCACGATGCCAATTTGGGACGTTCTTGTAAGTTACTCTGCTGGTAACATCAAACATGATTACGGCGCATTGACCCTGGATATAATATCCATCGCGTAATCCGCCGAACTTCTCCTGGCCAGCAGTGTCCCACACATTGAATCTAATTTTTCCGCGGGTAGTGTGGAAATCAAGAGGATGAATCTCGACCCCGAGAGTTGCTGGGAGAATCTTAATATCAATGCAACATACCGACATATTTCTTTTCGAATTCACCAGTCATATGACGCTTTACGAAGGTTGTCTTTCCGGTGCCCCCATCACCGACCAAGACAAGCTTGAACGTTGCTACGGGAGAATCATGAGCCATGAGGGAGGAAAGATTATGTTGAAATTCGAAGCGAAGTCCACGGACCGCGGGAAAAACGCGGAAAACAGATGGGTTTTGATAAACTAACGAGCCTTTTGGTTATTTTATATAATATTTTATTCTTATTTAACTTCATATAATTTATGTCTATATTTTGCATTTAAGTTAGTCCGGATTATATCCAGTAAAAAATTATAAAAGTAGTCTGTATTCATAACTTAGGCTCTTTCGGATAACACAAGTTACCTTGGAGAAAATAAAGCACCCTACATGTAGCTCCCATATTTATCATATGGCAGAGGCTAAACTAGCTTAAGCATGCGGGGAAACTGGGCCTCAAAGAATCTCTTAATAAATTGATGCCATAGTGCCTTGCATTTCATTAGAGGATGCGAGTGGAAGGGATTCGCAATTCGGCCTCACCAGGAGGATTGCCTTGAAGTCGTCAATAGATTTGTGCGAATAAACCCTTGAAATACCGTCCTGCGACCTCAATGAAACCTTGTGGAGTAGTAGATGAACATTCTTCCTAACGAGATTCTAGACTTGAGAATATATATTTTCTGCTCAAGTTCAAGTCTATATTCATTTTTGTCTTAGTCGGATATTAAAGGTTCGAATATAGTATTCTATGATATAAATAGTAAATTAATAAGTTTTTTTTACAGATTTTCTTACCAAAATTTGACTTATAGAGCTCGGTATCCTAAAATAGCCAATATCAAATTCCTAAACTTTGCTATATCAGCAGTTGTAAACTTAATATATTATGTGATGTTATATAACAATATACGCGGGAGTTGAGGAATATGCCAACTACGTGATGGAAAACGAAAAAAAGTTTTGGGATAAAACTATCTTTCATTCCTAAGTGTCCAAATACAAAAAAAGGCAAGGAATTTAACATTAATTTGCTCGTAGAGTTTAACAAAGGTCTTGAAATGATCACAAGAGTACAATGTAAATCGCTATAATTTTTATAATAAAAGATAAATATATCAGCTCATTAGCTTAAGTATATCTGAGTTTACTTCCATTTTGCTGGAAAGTGTTTGGTGAAGAAATTCGAAAATCGATCCCATAAGAAGACGATGGCGAATTCCTCCTGGCTAACTATCGATTCGTTGTGTTGGATCATTCTAGTTGAATCCGTATCCGGTTAAAAAATGTGCTAAGCTTTCGTCCGTCGTATGACGAACATCATCATAGCAGGGTATCATCCTTACGAACAAATTCAAGCTAAAGAGTCAAGAAAATTCTCCGGTTCATCCCTAAACAGCTGTATATATACTTTATATATTACCTTTTTGATGTATTATAAAGTGATCTGGTTAGTTCCAGTGATCTATCAACCTTGAAGCATATGAGCGTGTCTGTCTCTGTATGTGTGTGTACCTACATGTGTTCGCAATTGTACGAAATCAGCAGTGATGGATCAAAGTAATTAGGACAGCAAAAGTAACGTCTGTTTTTGTCCATTAAGTTTTAATGCCTACCATCACCCCCTTTACTTATATATATATGTTTTAACCATCACTCTTATTGCGTAAGGTCTGAGACTCGTCTGATTATGTTGATGAGCGTTTTTTTCTTCATGTGAGAGAGAAAGAGTTAACTAAAAGTACAGAGGAGTGACCGTGATTAGAACCAGGATAAGAAAAGACTAGTTGAATTACTCTTTTTTGCAGGTGAATCAACACCCTCTCTATCCTAGAGTCTATTAATTAGGTATATGTACTTTTTACTTAACTTTATGTTGATATTCCTTACATTCAACGTATTCCCTATTCTGTTTATTTTAATGGCCTCACTAATCTTATTTTTAGCCGCAGATTTACCATAATCAACAAAACGGGAAGTTTGAGACCATTCAATCTAATTTTTAATCTCTCCTTTGTACTCAGCCAACCTTTATCGAGTGGAACGACAAGTCTCTCCAACATAGAAGCGACCAGAAAAACACATTATTTTGTAGCAACCCGAT